GTTTTTCCTAAAAGATAAGTTCTTCTTTGTCCACTGTGACGGACACATCAGAGAGAGGTCTAAGGAGTGTGTGCTACAGTGGCAGGAAGGTGCCAATATAAATATAGAATAGCTGCAGTATTATCAGAGCTGTGAGGTGGCCTTATTACATATTATTGGTGGTACTCTGCTGTCCCTAAAGAGAGTGGCCTCTAAATGGTAACAAAATGAGAACTGGAGCACAATTGGGAGATGTGGGCATCAAATTTAAGATGCCTTAAAACTTCAATTTAAAGCCTAGCCTCAATTAAACGCCCAGTCCCTTTTACTAGCCCGGTGAAGCTACACATTTTGACAAGTAAAGGCCTGTCTCAATTAGAAGCCTGTTCTGGTTGCCAAGCAGTACGTTTTTATAGAAGTTCTTTGGATGTATAAAACTGGACTGTACATAAATGTTTTGTCAATATGGAATTCCTGCACATAGTTAGCTTGATTCAGTTCATTTTACTGAAACCATGAGCACCACAGAAGATCGCAATGCATTCAGATTTACTGATTTACTACTTGTGTCGGGACCCTTGAGGGCTTTTATCGGTGACTTTGGTGGTAGAAAAGGTTGCTATTCTTTGTCATTCTTCGGCTGCAATAATGCTGAGATGCAGAAGACCCGCAAATGCAGACCAGTCAGAGCAGACTTTGCTTTTTTGGTGGGGTTCTTAAAGGGACAGTCGGTAAAACTGAGCATTTCAGACCCTTTTTCCACCAAAATAAGCGTGTATGCTCTTTTTTAAATGAGGGAAATCCCGTTAAGAATAGGAGATACACTGCTGCTGGTGTACATGGCTTTTTCTTTTGTTTGTTTGTTTGTTTTTTGCAGGTGTTTCATGTTCTATGTAATAAACGCGCTGCATAACAGGTTAGTAAACAGTAGAAAGCAGCACGGAGGCCAGTGTCACAGTGTTTACTTCTTTTTTATATTACTACTTATTGAGTCTCTCTCAAACTCGTTGCTGACTAAATTCTGAACAATGCCACCTGGATGGAGACGGGGGGGTATTTTGTGGCGGCCTGTCATTGGGTCGCGACATCACAGGGGCTAAAGTTAGCACATCCATCGAGTGTTGTATTTCCATTACTGCCGATCACAGCTAGAGCAGATAAATACCAGTTACCCCAGCAAAGTCATAAGTCTTTGATGGTTTTTGAACATGAAAGTAGAAACCTTGAATACAAGTATGAACTTTAAAAAAGCACAATAGATCCCCTTTAGTCGCTTTCGGCCTATAAAAGTCAAAACAATCATCAGCCCCTTTTACACTGCCAGATTTTCGGCGAATGTTGGGCCGTTTTGCCGGCAAGCTGCGAGCGTTTAGACACACAGAGCCGGATTGGCGAGTTGATCCAAGGTGCCCAATGTTCCGCCTTGTAGGGTAGACATATTGGCGGAACCTTTTTAGTTTAAACAGACCGAGGCAGCCTTCCACAACGGGAGGAGCTGTTGATGACGCTGCACGTGCGAGCCACTGGCGGTGGATAAACAGGAAACAGCTGATAGCAGGAATTAGCGAGCAGCTAGTAGCAAGAGGGAAACTCAAACCTGACAGACACTGTAAAGATGAGCAACTGGGGAGACAAGGAATTGCGCGCCCTCCTTGTCCTCGCAAACGAAGAGGCCATTAACTGTCAGATGACGGGGACGGTGAAGGACGGGCCGACTTACGAGAGAATCGCCGAAGGACTGTCCAGCCTCGGCTTCCCTCCCACTTCACTGTTTACGTCACACGCTGAGCTACACTTTTTGTTACTTGCTCACTCCCCCCATTGCTCCGAAAAAGGCTCATTCTGTATAAACAAAAGTAGGTAGGCGGCATTTTGCTGCACTCCCCGATTTTGTTTTTATACTGCCAATGCTGAAAAAAAGACTGATTGGGCTTTCCTACCGTCATCGTCAACCAGCGACAACAGTGGAAGTTTGACAGGTACATTTACCTGCAGAGATGTGGACGTAGCTGCAGCCTGTGAGAGACTTTACACAGAAAGCAATAAGCGTGGTTGTTCTGATGGATGTAAAGTGCCACTGGTCTGTTTTGTAGTGTTGCTCCTGTAATTTTGAGGCTCAGAGTGGCTGTGGTCACTGAAAGGTGGACATCATTATGTTTGTAAAAGGCCACACTTTCACCTCCGTGCAGTGGGGTCACAGCCTAGCAACAGTGGGTCTGAGGCATAGCAACAGCACCTGCAGAGTCGGTCCAGCAATGCAATAATTGGACCTTTTAACTCAGCGCGGGCAGATCGACTCGCTAACAAATACAGACACACTTCATCAGAAGGACACTTGTTCATGTGGCGCACAGCCCTGCGTGTGTTTGGAAAACGGGTGTGTGACGGAGTGTGTGCGAGTCGTTGGAAGAAAGATTAAAAATGTTTGTGTTTGTGAGAGAGACAAAGCGTGCGATGTATTTGAACAGAGTGTTTTTATAGTGACTCCATTAGTATAAAAAATGACCCTGGCTGCTGGTATGGCTGCACCGCCGCTGCTCCTCTCTGCACGCTGCTCTGTCCTTGGACAGCTGCAGTGTGTTTACATGCATGTATGTATGATCTCATTGTGTGTGTGCTTGTCATGGTGTGTTCACGTGCCCTGAAGGTGTGTGAAGTGTCGCTGCTCAAGGTCACTACATCTGTAGTCCGTCTTCTGACCGTCTTGAACACTGACACAGAGAACATTAACCGTTAAGCACCATCATGTCAGGATCCATTGACAACCCGCTGGAGGACGTTTTAAGCGAAAGGACAACATCGGGGTGATGAATTTGGAAAACTGACGTCGGCCCAACTCTGGTGGAGATAAAGAAATTACATAATGGGGGATACATCATCAATTAGAAGCATAAATGGACTGATTATAGCGAGTTGATGCAGTTAGAGAGGAGAACAGGGAGGAGGACTGTATGTGGACTGATTAGAGATGGCATAATGGACGAGGGCGGAGAGGACACAAGACTAGAGATAGAGAAATTAATTTACAGCTCACGAGAGAGGTGGAGAGTTTAAATATTATAATGATATGTGTACTGTACAAAGACACTGGATGAAATCTAATCCAATAAAAGAATGGGAGTCTCAAGTGCACTGCAAAGAAATCTTTGTGTATCTCTCTGTTTGCAGCTAATCTGGCAAACTACTGGATCAATCAGCCTAATAGTTTGTGTGTACATTTATGACTGTACGCTCAAAGACGTCTTGTGGTTGTGGGGATTCATAATTGTTGGAAAACCTGTTTCATGTCGTCGCTGACAGCTGACTCCTCAAGAGGTGGGAATCGCCAGAGGACTCACGATATTATCACGATACTTCACGATACGATATTATTGTGATATTGCGATATGCTGTCAGATAGTGTGTCGTTATAGTCACATATGAATCCACTGACCTTGAAGTCCAGGCGTCACAAGTTAATGCCACCCTTCCGGGATATGAATTGTTGTATGTCTCAACTCCTAAAACTCTACGTAAAATATTAAGAAATTAATACATAATAGTAGAATGAATGCCATAAAAAATTTTGACACAGGTGCAGACACACGATTTGGTAAAAAAGACATTTTAAAGGCTACAGTAGAATGCTTTTTAAACTCTACTCTGTTTCCGTTTCGTTTGCCTGTAGCGTGCGTACAGTATGCGTAAAGACGTGAGGCTTTACGTGGTTATCTGATTGGTCATAGGCTGTACTCGCCGATACCCGATACCGCATTTTAGGCAGTATCAGAGGTATTTCCAATACTGCATTAGCTTGGCCATCAGCCAAGTGTGTGTGAGGTGAGCCGTCATGTTTGTAGTAGTCCCAGAGTGTTTAAGTCTCATATAACGTTGCTTTCAAATCACGTGCGTCATTTCAAAGTCCTCCTTTCCTTCTGTTAAAAAAATCCAAAATAAGTCCAGACGTTTGATTCTGATTTCTTTATCCGGTGCCTCCATCTTTGTTTTAATGATCTTCCTGCCGAATGCTGCTGACTGACACCTCTGCTGACCTCCCCAGGAAAAAAACTCATCACCATCTAGTACCAAAAGTTGTGTTAAAATGTGTATTTGCAAAAATTAATGATGTATATAATAAAAGATCGATACAATATCGGCACGCAAAATATCGCGATACTATGCTGTATCGTTTTTTTTTCCTACCCTTAAAATATAGCTGGAAAAAATGACCCAAATTGCCTGGTAAAGACCTGTAAAAGTTAAACCCACGTGAAGCTGTACCATTAATGCCAACCACGTCGTGAAGGCAATTTATTCAGACAGTGTGATTTACAGTATTAAAGGCCACAAGGTCCAGATGAAGTAAGCCAGTGCCTGCCTCCAGTTTCAAGAATAAATCATCTGACACTCTCAGCGGGTCTATGAGTGTTTCTTCTTTTTTTGGCAGTTTATAACCTGAGTTTATCTTTTTTCTGTCTTAAAAAAAGCACCTAAAAACATCTTCATCACAGTGACAGACACTCTGAGGGAGTGAAGGTTGTGACAAAGACAGTTTGAAAATGTGAGAGGGCGTAACCTGAGGGCGACAGCGTTACTGATGCTGCTGGGTACAAATCATCACATTCACCTCCTTTTACATTCTACTCATGTTCTCAGCTTCACAGTAAACGTACAGGAGAATAAAAAAGGGGCTGGGTGAGTGAGACAGAAAGCGACACAATGAGGAGGAGGAGGGAGGGGTGCAGGAAAACACCAGAGAGAAAGGGAGAGAAAGAGATGCTGGGTCTGAGTGGAGGCGCTCATTAATAAGAATTTAAAGGATGTGAGGAGAGGACAGCGAGCGCAGCAGCCAGCATTTGCAGGACCGAGGGAGGGAGAGGCTGCCGATGGAGATGGATGGGAGAGGACACGGGAGTCAGAGGAGGAGGTGACAGAGTTGGACAGTTGAGAAGCATCATCACCGGCACACGTATTGATCCGCGACAACCAGGTGGTTCGTCTACCGGAGCCACAGAAGAAGAAGATGAGGAGCGCTGTGTTCTGCTTCTCTGCTGCCGACTGCCAAATGAAGAGTGTGTGAGAGCACTCCAGCTGAGCGACACACACACATCACACGCGATACGAGCACATTCAGTTTGCAGGAGAGTCGGCGCTGCCAGCGAACATCCTCCGCTACTTTCAGCAGCTGCCAGCTGTTGAGTTGAGATTTACGGGCTGTTTCATGTGGACCAGAGGCAGCATTCAAAGCAGGTGAAGCACTTATCTGGTAGTGTGTGTGTGTGTGTTTGCTGCCGCTGCTGCTCCTGTACATCTGTGCTCAGACCGGCTGTTTACAGTGAAGAGAAACGCCAGCAGAGTATCTGAGGATATTGGAGTGCCGGAGAGTTTGCAAGCATGTTTTGAAATCGGGGAAAAAGAACATCATAAAGATAAAGGAGGAGAGGATTTAAAAGAAATAGGCTGTTTTTTTTTTCAACTCAGCCACCACCCAGAGGCGAGCGTCAGGTCCCGGGGAAGTCCAGATACTGAGGAGCCCAGGAGACACGATGTGGATTAGGGGATGAGTCCTGCCGAGGAGGAGCCAGGGAGGGATGAGGTTGCTGGGGGTGAGAGGGCGAGGATGGGCTGCCCCTGCCCTGTGGCACGTCCGGCTGCCTCCCCGTGAGCATGCAGGTCCTACAGATCGTCAAGGAGCTGGTGTCGCCCTCCAGACGCAGGGCAGCGGCCAGGTTTGGAGGTGTGTGTGTGTATCACATTTGTCCATGTACTAGTGACACATTAATCCGCCATCATAGCCACTGATTGTATGTCTCAACTCGACGTCAGACGGTCAGTGTCCACCTGCTACATCATGGATAAGACCTATCTAAAGAATCAGACATCATTTTTTTGGGAGAAAAGCTGAGTGTGAGTGAAGAGCAGCAGTCCCAAGGACTCATGAGCCTTGTGATGTTTGCAGAAGGGTCACACCAATGTCCAGCCTTTTATTAAAACTGGTTATTGGCCGGTTATGTAGTCCTCCCCTGATACTGCTCATGAGTGTCAGACTGATAAACTGAGAATGAAAGCTGCCTTGTCTGGCTGTCAGGAGCCGTTAATCGTCCTGTAACGTCTTCATTAGTTTAATGTTGGTTTCAGTGGAGAGGGTTAGTGGGCAGCATTCTGCCAACGAGGCTTTTCCACTCTGGGGTCAGTTTCTCAAAGATTTATTAGGCTGATCTGTAGCGTGACGCATGGCAAGTTTTGCTCTTAATGGTCTCACAATGCTTGAAACAAACTAGTGCATAACCACGTCTGAAGGCAAATGGCTATACTCGAAGGAAAAACCTGCAGCCATAGAGAGGGACAAGGTGCAGTGGATTGTACAGATGGCATCACAGCGCATACTTACAGGCAGTCTCTTCTCAGAAGCATTGATAGTGTTGCAGTCTGTGACAGAAGTGCGAGGAATGAAAAAGAGAGCCTGAGAGAGAAGTTAAAGCCTCACAGACTTTATCACTTCCACACAGACGACCAGACAATCACTGCAGGAAGTTGGTTTGCTTGTCAGATTGGCAGTTTTGTACTGGTTCCAGACACTGATGGATGCAGCTCCCACCAGATTCTGAACTTTCACAGATACACAGGGACATCCACTATAGGGTGTTCTCATGCACTGTTTTTTGGATGTGTACCTACAAAAAGTAATACACCAAAATTCGTTTATAACCCACGTGTTTGTGAAGGCTGTGATCAAGTGGCCAATGCGCTGACAGGAGGCACCAAGTAGTAGAAAGAGCATAAGTCTGCATAAGGAGGCAGGTGAGGATGGTGGATGGGTCAAACAAACTCCCCTAGGATACTGATGTTTATGTCTTGTGAGAAACCAAGTGAACTTTAAGGTTTTCTGTGGGTACGTTAAGCACAAGACTTATGTCAAGTGCATACCGTGATGATGCCTTCCTGAACCTAACATACATAAATCTACTTTCCCTAAACCTTGACTATGTAACTTAGCATTAAATACATTTCAGTCAAAGAAAACTTTATCTCCATTTGCAGTATTATATTTGTGGTATGGCTCTGTTCTGGAGCCTCTCTGCCTTTCCTTGGCCTACACAGAAAGCCTAAGGTGAAGAGAGCACACCTCACTGCCCTTCCATGTGCATACACAGAAAGCCTAAGGTGAAGAGAGCACACCTCACTGCCCTTCCATGCACATACGCAGAAAGCCTAAGGTGAAGAGAGCACACCTCACTGCCCTTCCATGCACATACGCAGAAAGCCTAAGGCAGGGAGAGCAGCAGCAAAGACCCCCGGGAACAGAACAGAGCAGCATCAATGACGCCCAACCTCACATTTTCCAGGCGGTTAAAGACGCAGCATGTGTGCGGCCCCTAATTTCCAGGGCTGGTACCTGCGGTTATTCCACAGGCTAGTTAATAACAATGTCGGGCAGGAAATCCAAAGTGTGGGATCATTTTGAGAAGGTGAAGGACGAACCCAAGGTGATATGTAAACTCATCTTCATTGGTCGACTACAAACATAACGTATCATCTGAAACATGGAAGTAGCTACATGCCCATTAGCCCACAGCGTCATTAACAGGTGGCTCGCTCAGTGTGTGACGTGCACTTGTAGATAAAATATAGGCCTATATTAATGAAGGTTCATTAGTGCGGTTTTGTATTTCTCTGTAATGTAGCACAGTGTTAACAATGTTACTGATACTATTCTTTCTCACACCTTCAACTCAAACCACCAAAGTATATCATTTCATCATTACATTCATATCGTAAATATGTTGGTGACTAGTCGACTAATGGCCCTAAATGAAGACTATTGGTCGATTAGAAAAATTCTTAGTCGGGGACAGCCCTGATAAAAGTCTACTCGTAAAGCTTCTGCAGAAGGAAATGTTTTCATTAGCAGTAACTAAGCAGCATCAATGAATATCTTTTCTTGTAAAATGTCTAGAGTAATCCGTTGTGTTATGAGCCTGCGGCAAATTTTCCTCACTGTGGCACCCCTACTGATCACCCTAAAAAGTCACCCTGATTCCTGTCTATCTCTTTACAAATGAGGATCTCTGTTTCTGTTGTAATCATCACATCTGCTGATGACTAAATGTCATCTGTTTGTAATCTCATTTTGTCGTTCTCTCACGATGTTGTGGACGAAGCAGTGAAAAGAGTATTTTCTCTGTCTCATCCTGGTCCGATTTAATAATGAAGTTGTACTCAGTGTCATTGTGGATGAGGTTAAACTTCTCTCTGTGCCTCTGTGGCGTTTGACTGAATGGGAGGGACATTCCCCCGGAGCCACCACTGTAATAGCTCTGTTACTGTGGGACACCAGTGTACTACGTGTGTGTGTGTGTGTGTGTGTCCTGCAGCTGCATTTCTCTGGTGTGCGATGAATAATGAAGCACGGTGCCCGGGGTAATGGAACACTCCGTGACCTCTGACCCCTTTGTCCTGTCTCCTGATTGGATCAGCTTGTGCGCGATAGCCTCGATCTGTGTCAACTGTTGCAACACACAAGCGCTGTTTTTATTGTGGTGGTTTATGCGAGCTTTGTGGCCCCTGCAGGAGGAAGAATGCCACAGCTTGTTGACTTCTCGCTTCAGTGCTCCTCAAATTAAAAAAAAGGAGCCTCTGTATTTCCAGACGGAGCCATTTGCATGAATTTAACGAGGGGGTTGATGGGCAGGTAAATTGGTACTTATTGCAGATTTCTCCTAAAATGTCTTGTAATTAGGACATGGATGATAATTTATGATAATATTTCCCAAGCTCTTTCCTTCTCAAGTCGTATTGGCGGGTCTGTGTGTACCTGAAGATGCGGAGGATGTGTTTGGCTGTGTGTTTTGGATTCAGTTACTTTTTAATTTTCTCTTTTGCACCTGGATTTTCTGAGCATGGAAAAAAAAGTTTAAAGTGATATTTTCCATCAGTCTTTAGACCAAAAACCATTACCTTTAGATCTGTATGTGCTGGAAAACTTTGGCTCTATCCTCCTTTTGCCGTAAAGCGGTTCTTTTGGTTAGACGTTGGCGATATATCCAATATACTCCGATGTATCTCAGCTTGTTCCAGGTGGGATGTATAAAATGACTGTATCGCAAACAACAAGTATAAATGATGACCGCCAGAAAGACTCACAAACATGATAAGTCACAGACGCTCCTCCGCCCATCCAGATCCCTTTCTCCTGAATGACGGTGTGTGAGCAGGCGAGGTGTGTTTGCCATCTGCAGGGCTCCAGACCACTGTCTAGTGTCTAGTCACATTTTGCGACCATGGAGCACCACTGTGATTCGCAACTGCTATTAATATATGAACCGGAGAGCTGTCAGTGTGTTTCCAGCTCACATTTAATAGTGCCACTGTAGCAGTTTCTCTCAGTGATATTCCCTATACCATGAGCAGACAAAGCGTGTCTTTGTGCCAGTAGGGCAAGAGATCAAGACTTTTGCAACCATGGAGCACCAGTGCAACTTGCAAATGCTATTAATATATGAACTGGAGAGCTGTTGGTGTGTTTTCAGCTCACAGTAAGTATGTTTACATGGACAGTTTAATTCCACTTTTAATCAGAATGAAAGGCCATTCCGATTAAAAATGGTCATTCCAATTGAAAATTAAATCCGATTAAAGGGGGTGGTTTATTCCGTTTGTCATTCCGAATGAAAGAATTTTGTGTGCATGTATACGCTCATTCCTCTTTAAGTTCATTCCGGTCTTTCTGCGCATGCTTGTTTCCTTGCCCTTTTGGCGCGATGACGTATATAGCGCGCATAGCAACGGCCTGAGATAGAGTAGTTGGACTCGTTGCACTCACCGGTTTCCATTCGTTTCCTCCTCAACAGACGAAGCATTAGTAGAACAAGGTTGTTGTCGTACTGCTGCTTCAAGAATATCAGCAAAACACGCCCTAAAACGGCACTAAGAACAGCGTCGTCAAGCATCTTGTTATCTGGAGCGAGGACTACAGTGTTTTCTTCTGGTAAACGTAAACACCTAACATCCGCCCCGCCCCCTATCCAATCAGAAACCGTCCCTGCCCCAACCCTGCCCCAAACCTTGCGCAGACCTGAATAAAGGCAATTAAACTGATCTCCCGTGTAAACCCTCATTCGGAATGAATATTTCTCATGTAAACTACCTGGAAAAACTTTAATTCCGAATGATTTCATTCAGATTTATTTCATTCTGAATGAGAAGCCATCATGTAACCATAGCCAGTGAGTACATCCTCACATTTAAAGGTGCAGCAGCAACACTAACTTTGTGTCATCTGCTGACATTTGACTGTTGATTGGAGGCTTGAGGCTTTTTTATTATGTATTTTATTTAACCTTATTGTAACAGTGCTTTATTTTTTATTTTAACTACTTTATTCATCTTAATTTCAACAGTTGCTACTTAGATTTGGTGCAACCGTAGTAATTTTGTATTTTAGTAGTCTATAGAACTTTAGAGGAGATTTCAAAATATCGTGATATGTATTGTGTATCCTGATATAGCCTAAAAATATGATCATATTATTTTTAAACCATATCTCCCAGCTCCTCCCACCCAAACACCATTGCAGACCAANTGCAGCGCAATATAGCCTAAATATCGCAATGTTATTTTAAAGCCATATCACCAAGCCCTACTGTTAGTATAACAAAGCGATTCCATTACATCTGCTGTCAGCTCCCAGGGGTATTTTCCATCACTCTTAATAATAAATGCTAGCTTTACCTCTGT